AGTGATTGGGCCAAAGCCGAAAGGACTCTCAGCTGTGGACGTGCCTGGAAGTGAAAGGAAAACCCAATGCTGCAAAGAAAAATACTGCATAGGAACCTGGAATGTAAGATCTATGAACGTTGGGAAGCTGGAGGTGGTCAAACAGGAGATGGCAAGAATAAACTTTGACATCCTGGGCATCAGTGAACTAAAATGGACAGGAATGGGCGAATTCAGCTCAGATGATTATCATATCTACTATTGTGGGCAAGAATCCCGTAGAAGGAATGGAGTAGCCCTCATAGTCAACAAAAGAGTGGGAAGAGCTGTAATGGGATACAATCTCAAAAATGATAGAATGATGTCAATACGAATCCAAGGCAGACCTTTCAACATCACAATAATCCAAGTTTATGCACCAACCAGCATTGCTGAGGAGACTGAAATTGAACAATTCTATGAAGATTTACAACACCTTCTAGAACTGACACCAAAGAAAGATGTTCTTCTCATTCTAGGGGACTGGAATGCTAAAGTAGGGAGCCAAGAGATAAAAGGAACAACAGGGAAGTTTGGCCTTGGAGTTCAGAACGAAGCAGGACAAAGGCTAATAGAGTTTTGTCAAGAGAATAAGCTGGTCATCACAAACACTCTTTTCCAACAACACAAGAGGCGACTCTATACATGGAAATCACCAGATGGGCAATATCGAAATCAGATTGATTATATTCTCTGCAGCCAAAGATGGAGAAGCTCTATACAGTCAGCAAAAACAAGACCTGGAGCTGACTGCGGTTCTGATCATCAGCTTCTCATAGCAAAATTCAAGCTTAGACTGAAGAGATTAGGAAAAACCACTGGGCCACTCAGGTATAATCTAAACCAAATCCCTTATGAATACACAGTGGAAGTAAAGAACAGATTTAAGGAACTAGATTTGGTGGACAGAGTGCCTGAAGAACTTTGGATAGAGGCTCGTAACATTGTCCAGGAGGCAGCAACGAAAACCATCCCCAAGAAAAGGAAATGCAAGAAAGCAAAGTGGCTGTCCAACGAGGCCTTAGAAATAGCAGAGAGGAGAAGGGAAGCAAAATGCAAGGGAGATAGGGAAAGTTACAGAAAATTGAATGCAGACTTCCAGAGAATAGCAAGGAGAGACAAGAGGGCCTTCTTAAATGAACAATGCAAAGAAATAGAGGAAGATAACAGAAAAGGAAAGACCAGAGATCTGTTCAGGAAAATTGGAGATATTAGAGGAACATTTTGCGCAAAGATGAACATGATAAAAGACAAAAATGGGAGGGACCTAACAGAAGCAGAAGACGTCAAGACGAGGTGGCAAGAATACACAGAGGAATTATATCAGAAAGATTTGGATATCCCGGACAACGCAGACAATGTAGTTGCTGACCTTGAGCCAGACATCCTGGAGAGTGAAGTCAAGTGGGCCTTAGAAAGCCTGGCTAACAACAAGGCCAGTGGAGGTGATGGCATTCCAGTTGAACTATTTAAAATCTTGAAAGATGATGCTGTTAAGGTGCTACATTCAATATGCCAGCAAGTTTGGAAAACTCAACAGTGGCCAGAGGATTGGAAAAGATCAGTCTACATCCCAATCCCAAAGAAAGGCAGTGCCAAAGAATGCTCCAACTACCGTACAATTGCACTCATTTCGCACGCTAGCAAGGTTATGCTCAAAATCCTGCAAGGTAGGCTTCAGCAGTATGTGGACCGAGAACTCCCAGAAGTACAAGCTGGATTCCGAAGAGGCAGAGGAACTCGAGACCAAATTGCTAACTTGCGCTGGATTATGGAGAAAGCCAGAGAGTTCCAGAAAAATATCTACTTCTGCTTCATTGACTATGCGAAAGCCTTTGACTGTGTGGACCACAGCAGACTATGGCAAGTTCTTAAAGAAATGGGAGTGCCTGACCACTTTATCTGTCTCCTGAGAAACCTATATGTGGGACAGGAAGCAACAGTTAGAACTGGTCATGGAACAACTGATTGGTTCAAAATTGGGAAAGGAGTACGGCAAGGCTGTATATTGTCCCCCAGCTTGTTTAACTTATATGCAGAATACATCATGCGGAAGGCTGGACTGGAAGAAACCCAAGCCGGAATTAAGATTGCCGGAAGAAATATCAACAACCTCCGATATGCAGATGATACCACTCTGATGGCAGAAAGTGAGGAGGAATTGAAGAACCTTGTAATGAGAGTGAAAGAGGAGAGTGCAAAAAATGGTCTGAAACTCAACATCAAAAAAACTAAGATCATGGCCACTGGTCCCATCACCTCCTGGGAAATAGAAGGGGAAGATATGGAGGCAGTGTCAAATTTTATCTTCCTGGGCTCCATGATTACTTCAGATGGAGACAGCAGCCCTGAAATTAAAAGGCGCCTTCTTCTTGGGAGGAAAGCGATGACAAATCTTGACAGCATCTTGAAAAGCAGAGACATCACCTTGCCAACAAAAGTCCGAATAGTCAAAGCTATGGTTTTTCCTGTCGTGATGTATGGAAGTGAGAGCTGGACCATAAAGAAAGCAGACCGCCGGAGAATTGATGCCTTTGAATTGTGGTGCTGGAGGAGGCTCTTGAGAATCACCTGGCCTGCAAGGAGAACAAACCTATCAGTTCTAAAGGAAATCAACCCTGAATGCTCACTTGAAGGACAGATCCTGAAGCTGAGGCTCCAGTACTTTGGCCATCTCATGAGAAGAAAAGAGTCCTTGGAAAAAACCTTGATGTTAGGAAGGTGTGATGGCAAGAGGAGAAGGGGACGACCGAGGATGAGATGGCTGGACAGTGTCTGCGAAGCAACCAACATGAACCTGACACAACTCCGGGAGGCAGTAGAAGACAGGAGGGCCTGGCGTGCTCTGGTCCATGGGGTCACGAAGAGTCGGACACGACTAAACGACTAAACACACACACACATAATTAATTATGTAAGATAATTAATTATTATGTATTTTTAAAACTTTTAAATGTTTTTTTCCCATGGGCACGACTAAGATTGAGTGCCTCAGGAGGAGTGAAATGCTTTCCTTCCCACTGAAGGCCATGGAAGGGTTAAAAGAGAAAAACTGACACCCACCCTGGGGGTGGGGCGACTGGAGGCCCGTTCTGATTGGCCAGAATGCGAGGCTATGCAAAGAGGTCCTTTCTTAATTCTCAGAAGTTATTTAAAAAGGACCAATTTCAGAAGTTTTTTAAAAAACAAAGCATGCTTATGCTTCTAGTCCACCCCATAGCACTTAAAGCACTCTTTGGGTGGTTTTGTTACATCAGCTACCCTTTGGCCCGACCCACTCCCAGGGCCAGCTGGGTCCTCATTTGACCATCCTTGAAAGGATGGAAGGCTGAGCGAACCTCGAGCCAGCTCCCTGGGATTGGACCCGGGTCTTGAGCAGAGTTTTGGCTCCAGTTTAACCTCTGCGCCACGAGCCTCTTTCATGTCCAAGTACTTAAAAGCACTCCGGCCATTCTTCACTTAAGGACCACCTTGCTGAACTCAGACGTTGGTGGCGTCCTGGAGCCAGGAGGCTGAGCCTGGCCCAGGCTGCTGTTGTGACCGCAGCCGCCCCTCTCCGCTGCAACCCACCTCTCCAGGCACTGGAAGGAGAGGCTCCTCATGGCTGGGGTGCTCCGGCCACTTGTCCTGGCATCGCCCTCCCCGCCATGGCCAGCCCTGCTGCCGCCACCATGGCTGCCGTACGTCGCTGGCTCAGGCCTGTTGCCGGTTGCTATCCGCCATGGCTCGGTTGCAGCCAGGCTGAAGGGGGCGGGACGGGGGCAATTGGGCATCTGGGAACCCCCCCTTCCAGGCAGAGGAGGAGGAAGAGGAGGGATGGAGGTTAGAGTCGCGTCCTCATTACCCCCAGGATTTTCGTTCTTACCCCATTTGGGGTAATTTACCCCTGTTCCCTGACCACTGGGTTAGGAGGACACTCTCAATGGTGCTACGATAGTCGGACGAGATAACTTTAACTTCTCGAGCGTTCTCAGGAAATACGGCCTCTTCTGTGCCTTCTTTACTAGCATGTTGGCATTTATAGTCCATGAGAGGTCCTCTGAGATGTCAGTGCCCAGAAATTTAAAACGACCAACTCTCTCCACTTCCTCGCCATTTATGTACAGTGGTAAATGTACATTTTTCTTCCTCCTAAAACCAATTATGAGTTCTTTAGGGTTTTTTTTTGAAGTTAAGTATAAGATTATTTTCTTTACAACAGAGTATCAGCCCTTGTACAGTGGTGCCTCACTTAACAATTGCCTCGCTTAATGAGGAAATTGCTGTACGATTAGGTTTTTACAATTGCAAAATGATGGTTTAAATGTTTTTTTTTTCGTTTAACAATGATTGGTTTTCTGCTTCAGGAACTGATTTTCGCTTTACGACGATCAGCAAACAGCTGATCATCGGGTTTCAAAATGACCGCTGGCTGAAGAAAATGCCCCCCTGCTGTTTTCTAGGACGGATTTCTTGCTTTACAGGCACCGAAAATGGCCACCGTATGGAGGATCTTTGCTGGACGAGCAGGTATTCAGCTCATTGGAAAGCATTCAACGGTTTTCAATGCATTTCAATGGGTTTTTGAAAATTTCGTTTGATGTTTTCACTGTGCAGCGATTTTGCTGGAACGAATTAACATCGTCAAGCGAGGCACCACTGTACTTCCTTTCTATAAGCAGACTCATTGTTCTTGTTTATGAGCCCCACCACTGTCGTATTGTCTGCAAATTTAGTAACTGTGTTAGTGTTATATATAGTGGGGTGGAATCATGTCTGTACAGGGAACAGAGGAAGGTACTTAGCACACAGCCCTGGGGAGCTCCTGTACTGAGGACCAGGGTAGAAGAATGGGGAGGTCCCATCCTTACTGACTCTGGCCTCTCTGTCAGAAAGTCCTTTACCCGCATGCAAATCTTCTGAGGTAATCAGAGGCTGAGCATTTAAAAAAAACAACCTAGTGGGTAGAACGGTATTAAAAGCAGAGCTATAATCCACAAGCAACAGCCTTGCATAAGTTCCCTGTTGTTCTAAGTGACTCAATACAGTAGGAAGTACAAAGGACACAGCATCGTCAGGAGTAGATCTCCTTCTCCTCTATGCAAATTGCCATGGGTATTGCATAAGTCCAAATGGTGGCATCATTGCACCTGACCTTTCTCTGCCTGGCACAAAGACCTCATGATCTGTGGGGACAGAATTTGTTGCAAATTTATTCAACCTCTGGGCCAAAATGTTGCTGTCCTCTGAAGATGCCGGCCACAGAGACTGGCGAAACGTCAGGAAGAACAACATCAAGAAGAACAACCTTCAGAACACAGCCAAAGAGCCCGAAAAACCCAGAACAACCACTAACACATAATATATTAATACTCTCTGCCAATTAATGCATATGTAGATATAGATATATTTAGTGGGGAAGGAGAGAGAGAGATGGGTGTGAGCCAGCTGTTGCGGGTTGGCAGAGTGGCCCGCCCTCCCTGGGCAGAAGGCTCCCCCCCTCCCCAATATTCTGGACTCCTGGACCCATGGAGAAGGGCTAGCAAGAGGGAGGGGAGAGCTTTTTGGGGGGAGGAGGAAGATGAACAGGCGGACCCTTGGCAGGACCCCCCACCCTTGGCATTTCTCGTTAAGCAGGAGGAGGAGAAGGAAGCCTCTCGTGACCCGAGGAGGGGCTGGGAGGGAGCCGGAGGTCCTGGTCGGACCTGAGAAGGGGGATCCCGGGAGGGGCAGAGGGCCTGGAAGGGCAGCTGGGCCCCAGAGGATGCAGCCCTGGATTCAATTCTGCTCTTGCCTCAAGGAAAGGAAGGAATCCCAAGCACCCCACACGGCCTGCAAGAACTCTTCCCGCCTTTCCGGTTTCCCATGAAAGTCCTGATTCTACCATCGGTGATGGAGGGGCTGATGGCACATGATCGACCCTTTAGGTTTTGGAAGGACCGGGGGGGTACTCTGACAATGAATATATAATATATTTAGCTGGGGGGGGAGAGAGATCAGTGTGAGCCAGCTGCCGCGGGCTGGCAGAGGGGCTGGCCTCCCTGGGCAGGAGGAAGGCTCTCCCCTGTGAACGTGAATGTCTGAGTTTATTAAAGGATGCTTCCGCAGCCCCCCCCCCCAAGACCTTTACTCAGCTAACATATTTACCGAAGTGTTACAACTTCTTGCACCCTATTAACTGGACCGTGGGGCTTCTGATCATCTGAGTTTATTAAAGGATGCTTCCGCAGCGCCCCCCAAGACCTTTCTTGCACCCTATTAACTGGACCGTGGGGCTTCTGATCAAAAGAAAGAAAGATCTCACCTGCCTTGCACGTGTTGGGAAGGATCTAGAATTCGATTCTTCATGGTTGGTCCTCATCAAAGCCAAGAGAGATCACTGCAGTTTCATCCGCCTCCTTTGGGGAAAAGAAAAAGGATCAGCCCATAGGCTTCTTGGACAAAGGAAACCAAGAACGGTACTTGCCCCTATGCTTTTTTGGATGGGTGGGGGTGCGGCTACATCTCCATATGTCTCTTGCTTCTTCTGTGAGCAGAAAAATATGATTTAAAAGGCTGGTAACAAAAGAACAGCAGAGGGAAGGAGGGGGGAGTTCTGAATGTATAGAAGGAAAGAAGGAAGGAAGGAAAGAAGGAAGGTAGGAAGGGAGGGAGGAAGGAAGGAAGGAAGGAGCTGGTGATGGACAAAAGGAAGGAAGGGCATCTCACAAACTCTGAGACAAAAATTTTCCATTAATGGTAGTTGGGGGTAGGAAGCAATTTTTTTTCAACCCGAAAACCCTCTCAGGGAGGCAGTGTTGTGTCAAGTTTAGAGTGTCGGATCATTGAGACCTGAGTTCAAATCCTCGTTCAGCCAGGATGGAACATCTCCCTTCCCTCTTAGGATCACCAAATATCAGAAGCAACTTCACAGCACACCACCTCCCACCCCCAAATCTATTGCGTTGCAATCTCCTGCCTCTGCCAACTTGTCTGCTTAGAACAAGAAACAGGCACCTTCCCACTGCCACGAGAGATTTCCAGTGGTTGCATCGAACAGACACCGATTTTGGGAGTCTTGCATCTGGCTTCCCTTTCTGTCACGTCGCAAGAGTTGGTCTAGAATGGAGACTTCAGAGCCATTCAGTTGCTGGGAGAAGGAAACCCTCCCCTCAAGGCGAAGGCTGAGAGTGGAGACCCAAGGTGACCCAGGGAGAACAGACTCCTGATGGGTTGCGTTTCTGTCCTTCTGCCCTCCCTCGGCCCAAAGGAGAACTCCAAAATGTAAGCGGTGTGTGTGTGTGTGGGGGGGGGAAAGATCCATATTAACATATGAAAATCAGGCCTTCTGTAAAATGGATGGCCCTTAACTGTGCATTCAGGACACACACAAAAAGCCCCAACCCACACCAGAAAACACTCTTTGTTACAGCTAGGAGAACCTGCAAAAGATCTTGTTCCTGGGGAGATCTATTCAAGCTTTTTCCTGAAAAGCACCCCATGAAGAGAAGGCAATCCGCTTCTCAGGCTTGTTTCTGCTCCAGTTTCCTTTCAGAAAAACATCTTTCACGTTTACATGCAACTTAGCTGCAGGCTCATTTGGGACAGAGACAAAGTGGTTCATGGTATGGTAATCTCAAAATTTGACTACTGTAACATCCTCTGCTGAGAGCTGGACCATAAAGAAGGCTGACAGCCGAAGAATGGATCCTTTTGAATTATGGACTGCAAGGAGAACAAACCTCTCCGTTCTGAAGGAAATCAACCCAGAGTGCTCACTGGAAGGACAGATCCTGAAGCTGAGGCTCCAAGACTTTGGCCATCTCATGAGAAGAGAGGACTCCCTGGAAAAGACCCTGATGTTGGGAAAGTGTGACGGCAAGAGGAGAAGTGGACGACAGAGGACGAGGTGGTTGGACAGTGTCTGCAAAGCACCCAACTCCGGGAGGCAGTGGAAGACAGGAAGGCCTGGCGTGCTCTGGTCCATGGGGTCACGAAGAGTCGGACACGACTTAATGACTAAACAAAAACAAGAAGGTCTTTCCACACCCTTGGAAGAGGAAGGGGGACAAAGAGGCAGAACGGCTCTTTCCATCCCCACCCCATGCATGAACCAAGGGTTCTCTTTGAATGGGAACCGGAATCATAAGGGTGGGGTGGTGAGGGTGGAGTGTCCCTGTGCCTTTGTGCAATGGCTGGCATGCTCCCCACCCCAAAAGACATGGATAAAAATCTCTTCCTCAGGCCTAGGATAGAAAATCATAAATGCAGGTCCCCAAAGGGTCGTGGCAGACATCTGCCAGGGTGGGTCAGGGAGCCCTTGAGTCTTCAGGTCCTTTTTCTGACTACAACTCCCATTCTTCCTGACCCTCTGCCATGTGGCCAAGGCTTCCAGGAACCAAAATTCAAAACATCTGGAGGGCCAGGCCGTCACTCTTTCCGCTCCAGGATAAGACATAGGATGCCTGTGTGAACCACAGCTTGCTACAGCTCTCTCTCTCTCTCTCTCTCTCTCTCTCTCTCTCTCTGTGTGTGTGTGTGTGTGTGTGTGTGTGTGTGTGTGAGAGAGAGAGAGAGAGAGAGAGAGAGAGAAGCCTGCAGCGAATCCCTGGATTCAGCCGCTTTCCAGGACGAATCCCTCTGATCATCCCGGTGGTTTCCAACTTTGTGTCCCCAGATGCTCTTGGACAAAAACGCTTGGAAGCCTTCACCACAAGCGGTGATATCCAGGAGTTTTCAGAGCTGTCGTTCAAGAACATCTGGGGATACAAACCACTTTGGCTTCTTAAAAAAAAACAAAGCTAGAACCAACCACGTATGTAAAGCTACCTGTTTCAAGTTGGCTCCCTCCTTTCCTTAGGGCTCTCCATGTCTCCCCATTTCACATGGACCTCGATATCTGGCTGAGCGCCTCCTCCCAGTTAGGTCTGCCCATCCTATAAAATTGTCGCAAGCAGAACGGCTGAGATTTCTAACCCCGAGAGAGGACCGGAAAACAACCACTAGAAACCAGGCCTTCTCGGCAGGAGCCCCACAATTATGAAACTCTCTTCTACCCGAAGTCCGTCCGGCCCCTTCACAAAGCTACTTAAAACCTGGCTATTTAGACAAGTCTTCCCTGAACAAACCTCTGATAAATAATGCCCAATAATACAACTTCTATCATACTGCCACACTCCATGTTTTTATTTCCTTCTATGCTTTTAATTGTATTTATTGTATTATAATTTTATCCTCACTTGACTTTATTTTTGATTTTCACCCCTATGTATTAATGTCGCTATTTGCTACTTTGTTACTTGGTTGTTTTCTTGTTATTTGTTCTAAACTACCCAGAGTGGACTTGGCTGCCTACACACAAGCCTACCTCTTCCACCTTACAGGAACCCTTATGAGAAATATGCGAAGAGTTATTTGTCCTTGCAAACCTCCCCAGTGAGCTTCTCTGGTTAAGCCTGAATTTGAACCCACGTCTCCCGATTCCTAGCCTGACACTCCATCCGCTACACCACGCTGCTTTTCCCTTTTACCAAACAGGCTCTTGGGATACTCATGGTGCGGAGAGAACCTGAGGGAGAACAGCCTCACCATCAGGGCAGGAAAGAAAGAGGAGCCATAGAGTTCAAAGGGGGCAGACAAGCCATTCCTGATATTTCCCCAACTGGCCTTTCGGTTCTTCTTTCGGCAGGAGAGGGTCCAAGAGGCGATGCTTGGAGGATGCCAGGCCAACAAGGGACCTGGGCTTGATGAAGCTTGGGGGTCTCCTCCACCTCAACAATTCTGTGATTTAAACACTCTGCTTAAGAAGAACACCTCTCAACCTTCTAATATGGACCTTATTTCCATAATCTTCTATACTAAGAAGTGAAATGTCTGTAGCTGTCTCATATCACACACACACAATCTTGAATCTTTGTGGGCCATTTGGGGAAAGCCAATTCTAGGACAACAACTGAAGTGTCAAAAGGAGCACACTTTCAGATGGAAACCTTTTACCTGCACTGGGCCTGCCGAACAGCGGGTGCCGACACGTTAAGGTCATTAGAAGCCCGCTGCTTGACAGGAGAGTGGTCTTTGTTGGCCTCCAAAGCACGGCATGTGGATCTTTCTGCCTCTCAGAAGTTGGATCCTCAACACATCAAAAATCCGGTGGGCCACCAGTCTTCACCTCCCTCCACCCTGGGTGGCACCAGCCAACCCAGCCGGCGAGACCCACAGCAGAGTGGAAGAGGCGATGCCTGGAGGACGTTCCGAGGACTCTCTTGCCGGTGGTGATCTGAGGGTGACACAAACTGAGACTCCAGAGACTCTCTCTGTAAAAACAAACCAAAGAAATGGATTACCCGTGAGATCATCCCACAGGCTTACTTTTGCTGTGAATCCCTTCAGTAGTTACGAAAATCGTGCTTGATAGGAGTTGCCTTCGATCACAACAGGAAGAAGATGGCTGGCCTGATGGCAAAGGTGAGTGACAGCCCAAGCGTCTGAAAATAAAGGCAGAAGATGCCAAACAGGCTAGTTTGAAAGGCTCCCCAGGAACATCACCCTTCCTGGGGGAAGGGGTCCCCCTCGGCTGTCCAAGGAGACCCACCCGCCGAAGCCCCTTCCCTCAAGCCTGGTTTCAGAGCCGAGAGCATTAAAAGATGGAGGGGGGGAGCTCCTCCGTCGGACCTGAAGCAGCCCAGAATTCCTCCCCCCCCTTTGAAGAACCCCCTCGAGCCTGCCAGGGTCTCCTCAAGAGGAGGAAGAAAGGGGTGGTTTTAAAGACCACCTTTGAATGGCAGGGAGAGAAGGAGGAAAACCCCTTCGCTCTCTCTCACACACACACCACACATATTTGGGGGGGTCTCCAGAAGTTGGGGGGAGG